AAATCTTCCAGCTGTGCAATGAAGTCGTGTTTTACTGTCCTGTGTGATGATTTGGCTTCTCTGAATTAAGATACCACACAAATACCCACTCAGTAAACATAGATGCTTTTAATTGCTAAAATAATATCTAGCTTTGTTGTTTCTCAAAAGAGGCTAAATTAATACACAAATTTTTAAAAACGGGAGCACATCACACTTGTTCCAGCCAAAACCATGATTGCTCATCGGGGCAAGACACATGTTTGCAGAAAGAGAATTAGATTTTACAAGAGTCACATTTCTTTGTTTCCATCATTATGTTTATCCCCCTTTAAACACATACCAAAATTGGACTTTAAAAAAGGTGATGCTAGGTGATAAGTAAAGTAAGTAAACAGTATTGTCCATACTTACATTGTTCTTTTTCACAGTATTTCAATCTTGTTTTTAAGCCTGGTAGACTCCTGACAGCCTTATATTAGTCGTCATGGTTCAGACAGGAAAATCAGTCTGCCATGGATTCCTGACTCTATGTACACAGACACAGATGAAGAAACAGTCTGTCATCACACAGGCATAACCCTGATTGCTTGGACTGCATCTGAATACACACCATCAGGGCTCTGACATGGCTTTTTTCTCACCCTATATTCCCAAAGAAGTTGTCTGCATCCCTACTGTCACAGAGTATCTGCAGATAGATGCTGGTACATAAAACAAAACTACAGCTCACATATCAATCTTAGATCCAATAGTACTGTGGCTTTTTATGAAGGTTCAAAACAGTCCTTGCAAGCACCTGCTGTGGTGCAACTGACAGTGCCTACATTTTAGCTATTTTGTTCTTTGTATTACACGTGAGACAGAGGTGCATCCAGAGATATTCTCTATGTCCATTGCAGCTTTCTGAGCTTCTGCTGAAGTACTAAACATTTTGGAGAATACCAAGTGCACTCAGTTTCCGTTTACCTCAATGTCGAGGGGTACCTGTCGTGAGGTCTTGGTCCGAGGGGAAAAGAAGGACACACAAGACACACGAGGATGGTGAGACAAAGAGATGTCTGCCTGCTCAGCGCAGCAGGCAGCCTTTATTGAGTTTGCCAACTTCACACACAACACAAACATATTCCCACAACAACACCCAGGAATCCAAGCACCTGCACATTATCAAACCGTCTTAACCTTGTACTCCCTGCAACCCAAGGCCGTGTCCATGGAAACCATCTAACCAGCTCCACTGCTCCCATGGAACACAGCCTAACTTTTGCACTACCCCAAACTTTAATTGTGGGGTTACAACTTCACCCCACACCTCAACAACATGCGAAGCACCTGACAGCATCCAGCCTCAAAGCTAATTTCTGACTCGTCTTGGCAAGTTTGCATCTAAACTTTGCAACTATGGCCTAGACTCACATGAAATTAATGCTCCTCCTTCACTGGTATAAACTTCAAGTAAAATCTGAGTTGAGAAAAAAACCTTGCAGCAGAATAAATTTCTGACAGTTTATGGTTAAAAGAACTGAGAAGTGCAATTTGAAATTGCTTCTTATGTAACAAGAGCCTGAGAACTGCACTAATATTTAATTGAGGGAAAAGTAACCGAAGGAAAATTGCTTGGAGATCTGCCAGAAGGATTTTAACAGCTGGGAGTTGAAAAGTGATTAATTCTGACAGCAATAAACACTCCGTGTTCATAAGCAATTATGTTTAGGTTTCCGAGCTGCTTGAATTCTTTTCTATGTACTATTAACATTTTATTATCCAGATAGGATTTTGGATTATCGTCATTTAGAACATTTATGAAAATCCACTTTTTCCCTAGCACATACCTGCTTATCTTGGGAAAAGAAAAGTGAATGCATACTGGAATTAATAACTCATAAGAACTGGACTCAGTGAAAAGTGACCACATTTACACAATCTCTTGAGAGAAGACAAGGGACAACTGCTAGGGCAAGCCCAAGAAAAGAGAGAAACACATCTTTTTTCTCCAACAGGCGTAGATTCAAGAGCCTGTGATATGCCTGATAGCTATTTTTGTGATCTCTCCTGACATATGACAATGGCTACCAAACCCATAGTAGTTACAAAACATAGTCTCCTTCGAACAGATACAAGCATAACCCTCTCTCAAGAGAGAGAACAAGGGCATTAAGGGTAAGCTGAAGTAATTTCTTGACCGTACCACACAATTAGACACCAGCATTGGAGTGGTCAAAGTGAAGTACATTGGCTGGACATCATAACTTTGTGCTGGATCTTGAAGATGCAATGAGAATGACATCTGATATAAGACATGAGGAATGAGACATCTAAATAGATTAAGCTTAGGAGTTATCAGCTGAGGGTATGAGATCCTCAGCCATGAAACAGTGTGCAGACATTAGTGTGTGAAAGATGCAGTATAGTCCTAGCCATACACAATATTTAACTAGTAAGCAAAGCCTCCCTGGACATGCTCTGCCTTAAGCAAAATCCAGTACAAACTTGCAGCCAGCTGGGAAGAGTGGCCAGCCCCATTACATGCAGATAGAGAGATGAAGGCATTCAGCTCTCCAGTTGTAGATGACCATCTTTGGGAATCCATCCTTGAAAAAAGTCCAGGGACCATTGATACCCCAAGTGGAAGAAAATACCAAAATCCATTCTGCCCTCCTGTGCCTGAAAGAACACATATAGATGGCTGAAAATAAGAGAATCCAGAGGAAACATATAAAATGACCTCCCTTAGGGCAGAACATGGCTGGAATTTTTTTTTCTTGCAAGTATTATGGTTACAGCTGTAAGAAAACTCTTCAAAATTAACAGCAAAGGAAGACTGTTTGCTGCAACAGGGAGTTCTGAGGTACTGCCAGTTCTGGCACACAAACCTCTGAGGACCTCACAATCAAACACAATCTCCTTAACCTGCATGTATTGTCTATGAGAGACAAAAGCAGCGGGCTCAGTTTGCAGCGGATTTCATGGGGCACACCCTGTACTGATAAGGCAAACATCAACCCTCACATCTGCCACGGTGGAGCATCACCCCTGAACAGAGTAAGTGGTGGTGTAGCCCCCTGAGTAGCCCCCTGTGCAGGCTGGGGAGGACAAGAGCACAGAATACAAGACGCAGAAAGCTGTGCTGGCATAGCAAATCCATTGATAGGCACATACCAGCCATTAGATAAACATCTATGTGATGTCAGTGTGGAGGGGGAAACTATTTCAGCTAACACTTTTCTCTCTGCTTCATATCACCCAGCCCATACAAAGCTTAATAGAGGCTGATTTGTTGCAGTGCACTTTTGTCCTAGCATGGGAGATTCCCAGATTCATATATAATCTCCTGGCTTTCTTCCTCATTATAAGAGGCATTGAGAATATTTGCCAAGCCCTTGGCACAGTTTTGGAAACAAAGAACAAGTAAAACAAGGAGAAGAATGCAGTTGCAGAAGGGAGTTACATTTAGGAAGTGGCATGTGGGAATTCTCCTGTGGTACTTTGATCTGGGCATTTGATGGGTATTAACACTGCTCTCTAAAGACAGTGATTAACTTAGACTAGATACACATCTTGCAAGTGGCTTTACTTCAGGAAGATGAGTTAGCTCACAGACTGTTTTGTAGACTAGGTTGTAACTGAGTATGTTTCCTATTCCCGTCATTCCCCTCTAGCTGCTCCCAGGCTCAGAGATAACTGTAGAAAGAAAGGAGGACAGGGTGAAGCAGAGAAGGAAAGGACAGGTTTTTTTGAGCTACATTTTATTTTCCAGATGAGTCTGTTGCAATCAGGCAGAGATCTAATACTGTACCTATCATCAGGTTTTTCCTTCATGGGAAAAATCACATGGCCTGGGTCATCTGTCAGAGACCTTTCACACCTGGAAGTTGAAAACAAGAGCATAAGGCCCAAATGTGGAATGCCCAACTCACTAACAACATCTGTGCTGAGCCAGAACATTTGTTGGATGAAACTCCAGGCAGCTCCTGTGTCAAAATTAAAGTTTGTTTAAAAGAGGAATTTGAGAAACTGCCAAGAAGGAATGAACATTTCTTCCTCTATAACCTTTCAGGGTTTTATTTCAGGAAGGGCTAAGTAAGATCTTGGCGTTTATCCCCAAGAAGCATTGTACTTGTCCAGTCCCATCCTACTTTCCACATGCCTGATGCATGGGCATTTCTTCCTTTGTAACTTCTCAGTGTTTTACTTCACTGGGTTACTCCAACCTTAAAAAACGAAAGCTTCAGGAAGATGGTTAAAATCAGCATCATGTGTTATTAAGTTCTTTTGATGTTTAATATCATGATATGTATAAGCACAATGCAAATTGAATTAGACTCAGAAGCAGTCTTCTTTAGAGTGGACTAGTGTATGTTTACTGAGCCTCCATCTAGTCAGTGGAAAACAGAAAATTCCTTCAAAATGGCTTACCTCCATCCCCATTTTTCTCATTCTATGAGCAAGTTTAGAGCTGGCTTCCCGCCAAATCTCCAAAACTCAGCAAAAGCCCTTTCCCTCCCTCCCCCTTCAGGCAAAGGAAAAACAAACAAACAAACAAAAAAACTATAGAAACTGAGAGAAATTGAAACCAATCGAATTATATCTACATGTATACGTGTTTTTTACATACATTACAGTTACATACAGTAAGAATATTATGTACAACTCCAAAAAGGGGAAGAGGGGAAGGGAAAATTGGAAAAGAGGGACAAAAAGGGAGAAAACAAAACAGATATGCACAATCGAAAAACTCAGAGACTAGAAGAATAAAGAATTAGCAAAAGAATATCTTACTAATCTCTTTGGGACAGCAGAAATCATGCTGAATGACCGCCGGCACCCTCTGCCTCCCAAGGTCTACAAGGCCTCACTAGGCCTCACTCCCCCACACAGCAGAACCAACAGCAGGGAATCTGTGTCTTCAGAACCACCAGAAGGGAAGAGAGCGAGCTCTCTTGTCTGCACCTTATTTATATGTTGTGTTATGCTAAAGGATGATATGGAATACTTCCTTAGATTTCTGACCCCCGTTGCTAAGGAAGGCCTAAAAAATCCAAAAGCCAGCCCACTACATTCTATCCTGAGCTCCTTCCTTCAGATGATGGAGCAGATGGAGGACAATTAAGGGAGGAGCAGTTGGTAAGAAAAATGAACAACAGTTAATTGGAAAACCCAATTAGACTATCTGGCTGAACACCTACTTAAATCCCTTTTTTCCTGTGTACTTTGGGGGTCACAGCCACAAACAGGGCATTACCATGAAAAAGTGAAGATTCCATGTCTCCTACTTGAGCAAAATGTATAGAGGAAATATTTAGGCCTGCTCAGATAAGTGCAACAATCTGTTGTAGTGGTGCTGTAGCTTCAGAATCAAACTTGAACAATTCTTAAGCATGACACAGCAAGAAAACTGCATCACAGCTCTGATACTTTCTTTGTTTGCATTGATAAAATGTACAAGACATGTACCTCATCTCTGGCAACATGTCTTCTCTTCCCCCTTATTAATACAGTGTCCTGTTAGTACAACCCTCTAATAATCAGCTATCAGCAAACATCTTTCAGAGCCACTGCAAAATGTTGCTGTACATTTGCCCTGCAGAGAGTGCAGAAGGTCAGGATTCTTTAGGACATGGCATGGAATTGCATTGCTTTCCTTGCTGGCTGTTAGTCATCTTAGATGCTACCTAGGGCTAGCTAGCTGGAAAGCTACCTCAACTGCTAGGTGTAGTAAGTGGGAATTTTGACACAGCCTTCAACAGGGCCAACATCTCAGGTCAGCTGTAAACATAGATGCTGCAGCATGTTAAGTATTTGTTCTTTTCACTTGAGAATTGAGGACATTTCATACCTGATAACTGCAAAGCATCTTTGATGTGTCATGCTTTTAACAAAACCCATGTATCTGAAAATCCTGTAGTCAGTTTGGCACTTGTTCTCACAGAATCACAGAATTGTTAGGGTTGAAAGGGACCTCTGGAGATCATCTAGTCCAACCCCCCTGCCAAAGCAGGGTCACCCACAGCAGGTGACACAGGAACTCATCCAGGTAGGTTTTGAATGTTTCCGGAGAGGGAGACTCCATGACCTCCCTGGTCAGCTTGTTCCAGTGCTCTGCCATCCTCAATGGAAAGAAGTTCATCTTCATGTTGAGGTTAAACTTCTTTTGGTTTACTTTATGGTCATTGCTCCTTGTTCTGTCCCTGGGCACCACTGAAAAGAATCTGGCTCCATATTCTTGGCACCTGCCTTTGAGACATCTGTATGCATTAATGAGATCTCCTTTCCGTCTTCTCTTCTCTTGACAGAACAGGTGCAGCTCCCATAGTCTCTCCTCATAAGAGAGATGCTCCAGACATCTCATCATCTTTGTAGCCCTCCACTGGACCCTCTCCAGTAGCTCCTTATTCTTCTTGTGATGAGATAAAGAGTACTGGACAAAATACTCCTGGTGTGGCCTCACTAGTGCTGAGTAGTTCTCATTCTCCAGTGAATGTTGGCTCTGAAGAGACAACATTCATTCACGCATGTTTAATGACCAGTAGAGAACCCCAGTAATATGTAAAACAGGCTATCACCGTGAGTCCTCCACCTTCTTTCTAATGCTGTCTCCTAGGATACAGCAGTGTCTCCAGTCCCTCCCATGCTCTGCATCTCTGCTCCATCTTTATTACTGCAGAGATATTTTGGATTTCTCCACAGAGGCAGTTAATAGAATTTATTGTTAGCTACAAACTCTGCAAATTCAGTCCCTGGAAGATAAGCCAATGCAATATGCTGGCTTCAAAGCTGGTAGGATCAAACTAAGCGGGATCATTTGGTGGGATTTCTGCCCATAAGGGAGCTGAATACCAGGTCATGCAGGGTTACCAAAGGGAAGTAATTTGTCTTGCAAAGCAAGTATGACTTTGACTGAGGTCTCCTTCAGTCTTTGAATCACCCAAGGTGAGGATGGGGTTAAAAGAAAAGATTCCTAAATGCAACTCTGTTCCAAAAAGGTTAGGGATGAAACTAGAAGCAATGATGTACTGTTATTAAAATAGCACCTAGAGCTGAATGCCAAGAGCCTCGCTAAACACACAGAAATGATTCCTGCATCAAAGAATTTTCAATATGAGCAGACAAGACAAAGACAGTACTGTTATTCTCATTTTGCAAACACTGAACCTAGACACAGAGACTAAGTCACCACAGCACAGTGATTAGGTCACTTGCCGAGGTCATATGAGGGCTCTTTGCTAAAGCCAGGACCTGAATCTATTTGTATGACTGAAACATAGTCCTATGCTTCAGAAAAGCAGTCCCCTTAGTCTTCCCAATTTTCCAGAATTGTATTGGTCCAGCTTTGATTTTCAGAAGAAAAAGATACTTTATCTCAGACTCCCACTGCACCCAATCCCCCACAGCAATGAAGCATGAATGCAGGAAGAATATGTTTCTGTAAACCAAGCCATGTTCTTTATAGGCTTAGGCTCACATCTTAAAGAACCTCTTATTCAGTCAGAATGTTGCCACCTTGCCTACTGTTACATGCACAAAAAATCCCAGCAACAGGTCATCTAATACTTGCTTGTTGTGTAAAAATGCCCTTTTTTCATTGCTTGTGAAACAGTGGGAAGGAATCCTACGTAACCACAGCATTAGGCACCTGGCCCAGCAAAAAACATTTGAAGTAATTTATTCCAACAATTTTATAAAGATAATTTCAATAAATGTCTTACTTCAAAACAAAACCCAATCCAGCTCTTTATAGGCAACATCTCTGTTCTGAAGTCCAAAGCAATGAAGAGGAAATTTCAAAGGTAGAAATGCCAGTATTTAATTCTCACTTACTTTCAAGGACTTTAGGGACTTGATGACTCTTTGTGCCTCTACAAAACTTTAGACATTCTCAGTCTTACATCTAGACTACAATTAAGAATTACTTACATCTATAATGCTATTGGGCTCTTAGGTATTACTGAGAAGTCTTTCACTTCAAATTCAAACTGAGATATTTTATGGCATGCTACGATAAGACATTTCTGTTGTTCTGAAACAGATTGCTTATCTCTTCTGGCTGATACTGCCTTCTCCCCTAAGCATTTTACAGGAAATGAACGGGGATCAGAGAGATGTCACTCACTTCCCCACCTGCATTGCTTGCTTAAGAAGCAAAATCATTTTATTTGTAACAGGCTTGACAATTCACGGAAGTAATTGAGATGAGACTTGTATGTCTTGCTGGCATGTCACGTGTTACTATAAAGACGGCAAACCCATTTTTATTACCATATGTTGCAAATTTCAGGTGAATTTTTGACCACTACCTCCTTTGCCACTATCTCTTTACTTAGAGGTCAAACTTATTGATTAGGTTATTTCCCATTAAAATTGATAGCTCTTTTCTGATTATTCAAGCTAGCAGGAGTAACAAAAGATTTCTGCTTTTTTTCTGGCACTCACCCATGCCTTTAGATAGAGCTACACTACCTTTCTCAGGAATTGTGTACCTCTAGTTAATGGAAACATTCCCTGAAAATCACTTATTTCTGCCAGAGACTGCCCATTGAAAGAAAATGTGGGATTTCAACTGATTCTGATGATGTAGAAGCAAAATCCCTTTTGCCACAAGGTCTGAGCCCCAGTGCTGAATTCACCCCTTAAATTCCGTAGAAAGATGAAAATAGGAAGTAGGAAATTATTTTTGGAACTACCCTACTGCCGTTACAGATATACTGTATTAAGTTCATGTCACATTTTAAAAAATACCAAATCCATAGTTAATTAATCATGTGTTTCTCATTATTCATCCTATAGATCAGCACATGGATCAGTGATTTCCAGCATGAGAGAGAAAGAGCCTGCAAGGAAGCCCAGCTTACCAGCAGGAAGTTCGAAGTACAACTTACCAGCATAATAACTGATGTTCTGGCATCTTCAAAAATACCACACAAAAAACCTGAAACCCCCAAAACCCCAAAACAAAACAGCACATACTTGTTTTCTCAGTAAGTAATTTTAGTTTTACAGATAACATCAAACCACTACACAGCTAATGCTGCTTTTAAAAATATAGCATTTCATTATTGATTCATATAGATGTTCAATAAAAACAGAAGGATTTTGTTCCCTTTGAAGAATGCTAACAGAATCCTAACCTGTGAATCAGAATATCAGATAAGCTAGTCCTTATTGATAAATCAATTATTTCTATCATTCTTCATAATTTTTAATGAAAAACTCATTAAGTCAATGGGTGAGCTGTTCTGAGGAAGAATAATCAGAAGATAATCATGCCAGATTTGAATAATTTTACCACAGCTCTTCCACTTTAGTGGAAGTGATCTAAAGGATGGGATTTGAACTTCATTATGAACTGATTATAAATATAATTCAGATGGAAGAGAAAGTAATTTGAAGAATTTTTATCTTGGTAATGAGTTCCCTCTGAAGCTTGTGAGCTGGTTGTTGGACAATTTGTAAACAATTATTGCTTGTCTACAAGGAACTAGGACACTGAAGAAGTTTGGGGTTTTATTAATTAAATTAGCATCTAAGCAGAGAATGAGGAACTCTGTATAGAATTTCTCCTTTGTCTTATTAAATATGTCTTCCACTGCTCTAATGGCTGAAAGTTTTTAATGACCCCATCACTGAGCTGAGACTATGTCCTTTTTTTTCAAGCTACAACTTGGCCTAATAAAAGAGAGGCTTTTCTCTCTTGCATCCATTACATATCTTAGATATTCAAAGCAGCTTCATCAGTATTTCTTTGAGAACCTGCTCATGTAGCATATACTCACCCAATACTTCACAAGGGCTGTGTCATTACAGATTGTGTTACTAGCACTATTCAGCTTCCTCAAAAGATACAAAAAACTGACCTGGTAGGTGGTGTATTATGATCACTAGGAAGCAGTAGCTATATAGCATATGTGCAATATCAGATCCATTCCCATTACCACCTGCTCAGCTCATTTAGCTCATGCAGTTTTGTAGTGCCTGCTACCAGGAGCAGGGATGGTTGTGCAAGCACGTCTCTCTACAGAATGACCCACTGAAGGCTCTGAGGATCTATCTTGATGCAATGACAAGTAGGCACCATTATTGACAATCCTGCTTGAGTCTGTCCCAAGACTGTGCTCTGCATTACTGTTGCAAAACAGAAAATTTCTGTGATACATGCACATTGACCTATCCTTCTTGGGGTACTCTCCTTGAGGTCTGCAGGTAAGGACAGAGAAGACACACGAACCTTTTCAGTAAATCGATTTCCCTGCAGCTGGCATCTCAGTACCCCACAAACATGCTGTAGGAACTGCAAATGCTGTAGGAACTGCCAGAGCATGGCATGCAGAAAACTGAAGGCCTGAGACCAGCAGCCTTGTCCTCAGACCACTGCAATGGAGGTTAGGTTCAGCTTAGCACTCAGTGCCTTCGAGAAATGGGTTTCAACAACAAACTTCAAGCAACTCCAAACTTTGGTAAGGCCTGAATTTGTAAAATTGCGTGTTTCAGATAGTTGTAGTGATAAAAGCACCAACTCAGTAGTTGAGTTTAAAGACACATGAAACATTAGTGTTTCATACTAAACCTCTAATAGCCGTCAGGACGCTGTCTTACAATGTGGCAATGCTACTCCCGTGGTCATACACCTGGCAGAATAAGTAGCCCCTTCAATTAAAAATGTCTTTAACTCTAGGAATGCCAAGATAAGAAAGAGGTACACAGTGCTCATTTGTATGCTGGTAACTACAATTTTCAGCCTCAGATTATCAAGTAGACACAAAGAAAGCAGCAAACACAGAATGTACCTATTAATAATAAACTGATTTTCCTCTCTGTGCACCTGAAAACATTTTCTTTTTGAACACATACATAACCATCAGTACTTCACAAATGTAAAATCCCAAAGGACTGTGGAATCAAACCTGTCCAGACAACGTATTTAAGTACAACCATTCTTGTCCACACTAAAGACAACATCTTGTTAACATGCGTCTTAGCAGTTTTTGACAAAATGTATTAGCTCATTACAGATAAGCCCTGAGCGTAAGCGATCTGGGCTGAGAGAAGGTATAGTGCCTTTCGAAAGGAAAAACTGAGAAGTAGAAGAGGAAATTCAACTTCACCAGGGAGACCATCTCAGCAGCAGCTCCTGTAACACAAGTCACACACATTTTAAATGCTTAGTGATTTTCCTCGACTTCCAATCAGCTTGCTGTTCCTAAAGGTACCGAGGACTGAGACAAATTGTTTAGGCTTGGAATTGGGAACATACAAAGGAATTATTTCAAATTTTATTTATAAACTCAAGTCCTATCTTAAAAACATTTAGGATTCTTCTTAAACCTTTAGTAGTTCACTTGAAAGGCTGTTAAAGGCTGTCACATTTTTGCTGGCTAAAAACCTCTTAGCTTCTACCCTAAGCCCATTAAACCAGGGCAGTAAGGCTTCAGCTAACATGGAATTCTGCATTCACAGAAACTAATGACAAAATTCCCACAGATCTCAGTAGGTCAGATATTTCTCTTTCAGATTTGCAGTATATTAATATTAATTTGCAAAAATATTAAGCCAGAAAGAAATATTTGAAATAAGACTGCAATACTGCACCCAAAATATGTTGTAGAAAGATTAGTAGAATTTGTATTATTGAGTATTTGCAGAGATGTACATCCAGTGATGATCTTTATTGCTCACTCATGCTGGGAAGAGTTTTTATTCATTGCTCCAAATTCCTCACTTTTGAAAGCACCATATATATTGTCAACTTCTAAAATATTTATTGCTGACTATCATAAAAGAGAGCTATAAACAAAAAGTATGTTAGGCCACTGTTCTAAGGATTGATTAAAAATGATGAATGCATTATTCTTTCTTGCAATTTTTAACTGTCAAACAAGAGGGATATGCTTTTGCAAAGGCAACACACTTTTTTGTGCTTATATCTGAGAATTTTTTACAATTAACAAGTCAGCCAACTATAAACCACAGTTCAAGCCTGTAAGATGTTGATAACTTTCTCCCTCCCACTACTTGTTGAGATCACTTATCATTTTACATTATCTTCTCTTTGTTTAAAAGAATTTGGTAGTTCATTGCCTCATCTTAGTGAGCAACTTGCTCCACATCCTCTTTATGGAGTACCCTGTACCTTGAGATTGTTTGTTCATCCTGCCAGATGAAGAGAGATTGTTTCTCTGAACAGAATTAACTAGATTCTGATGGCATTTATAATACTGCAACTTTAATAATTTTAAAGAAACCTGTACATTTTATTTCTCTGAAAACAGCCCTGACATCTGATGTCCCTTATTTATAGCCATAGTTGTGCTGTTTTGCAGTCACAGGAGCAACACTGTGCAACCAGCTCTAAGATAACAGCCACGTTACTGAAACAGACCACTGCTGGAGTATGTCTGCAGAGTCAGGTAAGCAGCTGCGTGAATGCTCTCTGCCACCCACATCAAAGATGCTGAAGTCCCCCCAGCCCTGCCTATAACTGGAATAAGAACATGTGTTTGCTTGCCTGCATGCATGCAGACATGCCTTTTATCTTGTTGTGATACAGCCAACACTTAGAGGATGGTGCCAGTTCCCAGACAGTTCAGGTTTTGGTGAGACACCCTTTAATCTGTCATGATTGGTGAGAGGCAAGGAGAAGGCTTCTTGCTATCCTAGGACAGACATCTATGGACTGTAAAGGGCACTCGGGGTGGCTAGCTGCAGTGAAGAAATCTACTTGTAGGCATCTAAAAATGGGAAAACTAAGACTCATTTTAGTTGACAGGTATGAGTTTCATACTCTTGAAAAGGCAAATTTCACACTGAACAGTTACAGAAATCATCCATTTCCAGAGTATTGCCATCTAAGCACTAAACTGGACAAGGATAAGATTTAGGTGGTTTTGAAAAATCTGATTCAAAAACAGTGTCCCATCTGGGGCAGGTCTGAGGACCCCCAGTGAAAAGTCCTGAACTAAATGGGTGGAACAGAGCAAGCCCTTCCCTGTCTGCCTGGCTGCTGCCAGTGACAGCAGGTAGGGTGGCCAGTGAGGCTCAGCCCTGATATGGAAAGTCAGATCCTCAGCAGCCAGAGATCTGCATTTTGGGAGGGAGGAAGTGGGTCTCCAATGAATTACAGGCCTTGGCATGGGTTCAGATGTTGTCATGCCTATGACTTGATAGGTTTAGAGGAAATGTAAATCTGAAAGGAGGATCTGTCCAGGATGATTGAGTTATACTGCAGTTAAAAGCAGAACAGATGTATAAGCAGCAGTGATGGTGTCACTGAGAATCAGTAACATATCTCACGGGAAAACCTTCATTTGTTGGATAAGGACAATATGCTATACTGCACACATATCCTTCTCTAAATGTAATCAATTTTTCCTGCTCTGAAAGCATGTGTGACAGCTGTTCTGCCCAGAAGCAAACCAACATCTTATATCAAAAGTATTATTGGTTTTTCCTCTTAACTGATTTTGGTAACACATTAAAAACAAATGTTAATATACCATATGAATCTACAGAAATTATCAGTCAGTCTTACAAGTGGAAAGGGTTTGGCATTTTCTGCTAACTCTTCACACTTCACATCTTTCTGCATTTTCTGATTATGTCAGAAGAAAAGTCTTCAATCTGGATCATCCCGAGAAAAGTTGAAAAAGCCTGAGAAAAGTCTGCGCAGGGAAAATTCACAGATGAGGTGCAATTTGTTGATCTCTTGTTAATGCATTTAGGAAAACAATGAACCAGAACAGGATGCAGGTAGCCAAGTTTGTAAGTCAGTGTCCTGGCTGCAAGACCAAAGGATTCCCAGTGCCCACTGGAGTGCGATACCTTGCTGCAGGAATGGAATTCCTCATAAAAGCAGGTGAGAATCAGTTCCACACAAAATCTGTGACATGCTTTTTGCGCTATGGAGTCTCATCCACCCCCCTTCCCTGGGTGGATGGTAGTCCCAGGCCATCTGCCTGGAAGTAATGGGCCTTCACTCTGATTCTCTTCTCTTTGGACCTCTCTCCCTGAGCTCAGACAGCCTCTGTATCTCATCAGGACTAACTTCATGCCTCTTTGTGCTTACCATATGGTCTAGCATTTACTCTGTCTAGCTGGTAGGATAAAATACACCACAGAGAGGACACAGGTGACTCTTAAAAGAAAGAATAGATGGTACCTCATTAGTTTCTCAGAGAAATCCTTCATGCATGCTGTAGGTTCCTGCTATGAACTGCTGTCATTGGGATATCTCAGCCATCAGCTTAATGCTCTATAGTTAAAGTTTAAATGCTTGGGAAATGCTTCTCATGTCCTGTGGTCAAGAGTCAGTGAATGAACCCTGTGAAGAAGTCCAATTTCTCTGCTGTCTTTGGAAAGAAGCCAAGACCACTGGAAGCAGCTTGTGATTTAAAAAAAAAATAAAAAAATTTAAAAAGATGGTTTTCAGTGGAATGGGGAAAATTATTCAACAGCAGTCATATGGATTGAGAAAGACCGAGTCCCCCATTCAGAGAAATTGTATTTATACAAAATGGAACACCTCTAGCAGGGGCTACAGCAAGAATGCCAACACCAAATACATTGCAGCCCTGTAATCAAGCCACAAATGGGCTGTAGGAAAATGTGCCACATGGACATGAGAAAAATGCATTTCTCTTACAGATAATTGCCTGTCAATAGAGGGATGTAACTTCACACGAAGTTTTGGTATTAAAGAAAGGTTATTTGGTAAAAAAAAAACAAAACAACAAAAAACCAAAAAACAACCCAAAAGACCCCCAAACTCCCCACACAACAGTTTTATAGAGAAATTCCAAAACAGCTCAATTTCTTATATTTATCTCCTTGGAATTCGTTTACCAGGTGCACAAAAGAACTAGGAACATTCCTTTTTTGGCCAGCTCCCCTTACTTGTGCTGGTTGCAGGCCACACAGGTGAGCCTCAGCTGCTCTTATGTAAGTCATGAAATACTTCAGAAAAAGAGAGAAAGATATAGAATGATATCTGTATCATCAATGAACAAAAGTCAGAAGTTTCAGCTGTTGGTATCAGCAGGGGAAATGTAATGACATTTTCCAGACATTTATATTCATGACTCTGTTTAGCTACAATAGTCCTTGCTGAAGGGTAGTTTTGCAATAGCTATTATATTTATCATGATCACACTTCCTTGTTTCATGAGAAATACTTTTTTGTGTGATAATGCACACATATTGTCTACTTATTGATAAAAAAGGGATACTTAATGCTAATAAGGAATGAGAAAGCCTGTTGGCTTTTCTATTCTTGTAAGTGAGCTTAAGCCCAGCAGTAAATGAAATATGCAGCTGAAAGACGTTTGGGATGGACTTCAGTTCAACCTTGAAGGGTATGGAAGCTGTGACTGACTCATAATTTTCACTAGTGTGTTCTTTCTAAACTGTAAAAATATTCTACTGAAACCTATTGGGAGATCTGTTTCTGCCAAATTGGCTGCTTTCCAGTCCAGCTTTAGTAGTAGTAGATTTTCTAAATTTTGTCATCAACAAATTGATTTTACATGAGAAATTTGCCTTTATCACCATGAACGCTGTGTAATGGTCTCCAAAACTCAATTCCCAGTTTACTGCAGATACTCCTTGCTCAGAATACATTGCTGACCTCTGTGCAATTTCACAGATGCTACCACTTTTGTATTAAAACCAGTCATTGTCATCAACTCTAGACTAACAAAGATATTAAATATAATGAATACAAAGAGTTCTGGGCAAACATTCATTATGTAGCATGTTTAAATTCTGGATCATCAGTTCCATAATCTCTTTGACCTGTTTTGTTGCTTTGGGCTTAGGTGAATTCAATAACAATTTCAGTCAAAAGGAGCTTTGGCAAGCTTAATTTCTGTACTGTTATTACTGAAGCATTTCACACTTGTGCATTGCACCAACAAGCCCTTCACACCATTTGTCTTCTGTATTAATTCAGATCAAAGAGGTCCTTCATGGTGCAGTGATGATGTTATTTTGATTTTTATGTACGCAATTTTTTTTCTTGGTTGATGTGACTGAAGACTGTGTAATGAATGTGGATTTTAATGATCATTCTTAACCATGTGATTCACAGTGGTGAGGGGTGGAATGTGTTGGATTTGCATTACATGGTTTTGATAGCAGGGGCTACAGGAGTGGTTTCTGTGAGAAGCTGCCAAAAGCTTCCCCTATTCCTACAGAGCCAATGCCAGCCAGCTCCAAGATAGACCCGCCACAGGTCAAGGCTGAGACAATCAGAGATGGTAGTAATGCCTCTGTGATATCATATTTAAGAAGGAGGGAGGAGGGGAAATATTAAGCAGAAGCGATTGCAATTGAAGCCAGAGAGGAGTGAGAGCATGTGAGTGAAGCACTTCTGCAGACATCAAGGTCAGCGAAGAAGGAGAAGCAGAGGTGCTCCAGGCACCAGAGTAGAGATTTCCCTGCAGCCCATGGTGAAGACTATGGTGAGGCAGCTGTGCCTCTGCAGTCCATGGAGGTCCATGGAGTGCAGAGATCCACCCACATCCATGGAGGACCCCACACTGGAGCAGGTGGATGCCCAAAAGAAGGCTGTGACCCCATGGGAAGCTCGTACTGGAGCAGGCTCCTGGCAGAACCTGTGGCCCTGTAGGGAGAGAAACCTGTACTAGAGCACATTTACTGGTAGGACTTGTGATCTCATGTGGGACACGTGCTGGGGGAGTCTGTTCTTGAAGGAATGTGTGCCATGGACAAAAGGGTACCCATCTCTCTGAGCCACTCTGGGGAAGGAGGTAGAGAATTATGAATAAAGCTAAGGCTGGAAGGGAAGGAGGGATGGGAGGAAGGTGTTCTTTAGATTTATTTTATTTCTCATTATCCAGCTCTAATTTTGACTGGGAATAAATATTAATTTTCACAGAATCACAGAATGTGCTGAGTTGGAAGGAACCCATAAGGATCATTGAGTCCAACCCTTAGCCCTGCACAGGACCACCCCCAAGAGTCACATCATATGCCTGAGAGTACCATCCAAATGCTTTTTGAACTCCGTCAGGCTTGCTGCTGTGACCACTTCCCTGGGGAGCCTGTTTGTCCTGGTTAGAACGGCTGGGACCAATTCATCCCTGGATGGGTGTAACCCATAACTGTGTATTCTATAGCCTCCATGCCATTTCCCAAAAACTGTTGTCAGTAGAGGCCTGCAAGGTGGGAAGATGTTCCTGTACCCTTCTATGGAATTCCCTGCTCTGATACCCTTTTATGGAATTCCCCGCTCTGATACCCTTATATGGAATTCCCTGCTCTGATACCCTTTTATGGAGGAGGGACTGAGCATCCGCATGCCCTTTTATGGAATTCCCTACTCTGAGGGAGGGACTGAGCACTCCCGCCTGAACTGGAGAGTATATAACTGGGAGTTTCAGAACCTTGCCACCCTCTCGTGGGATCCAGAGGAATACTGCAGACCACTGCCTTCAACTAGACTGCAGACCACCGCGTTCAACCAGACTGAGACCACCACCCTCGACTGGACTGCAATCACCACTTCTGACCAGACTGCAGCAGCTCTCCCACCAGCAGGTTTATCCCCTCTCCCTTTGCTTTGGACTCGGGGGTGGGCCAAGGCACACCACTCTTGTTCATACCCCAGGGTGCTAGGTTATACATTTGGGTTTTGTGGGTTAAAACCAATTGTCTGTCTGTATAATTGTACTTATTGAATTATTTTAATAAATTGTTATTCTGACTTATAAATCTCTCTTTGAATTGAGTTTATTTTCCCTTGCTGGTTAACTTTTAAACCAGCACACTGTTCCAGCACCCAGAGCCACCCTCTAGGTGAAGAAACTTTTTCTAATATCCAACCTAAACCTCCCCTGACATAACTCCAGGCCACTCCCTCAGGTTCCGTCACTGGTCACCACAGAGCAGAAATCAGTGCCTGCCTGTCCTCTTCCTCTCATGAGGAAGCTGTAGACTAGAATGAGATCTCCTCTCAGTCTCCCTTTCTCCAAGCTGAACACACCGAGTGACCTCAGCTGCTCCTCATACAGCTTCCCCTCAAGGCCCTTCACCATCTTCTCTGCCGTCCTTTGGACATTCTCTAAGAGCTCAATACCTTTCTTACATTGTGATGCCCAAAACTGCACACAATATTCAAGGTGAGGCCACCCCAGTGCAGAGCAGAGCAGGACAATCCCCTCCCTGGATTGAGTGGCAATGGATGCTTTGCCTGATGCCCCCCAGGACACAGTTGGCCCTCCTGGCTGCCAGGGCACTGCTGACTCATATTCAACTTGCTATAGACCAGGACCCCCAGGTCCCTTTCCATGGCACTACTTTCCAACATCTCATTCCCGTCACACTGCTCCGGGAAGTGGTTTGAGAGAGGTAATCCTGCTCAGCCCTGCTGAGGCCTCACTTGGAGTGCTGGGTCCAGTAATGGGCTCACCAGTACAAGAGAGACATGGATCTCCCAAAGTGGGACCAGTGGATGGCAACAAAAAAGATTAAGGGACTGGAAAATCTCTCTTATGGGGAAAGGCTGAGAGAGTTGGGCCTGTTCAGACTCAATAAGAGATGGTTGAGAGCGGATTGTACCAATGTATGTCAGTACCCGAAGGGAGGGTGTCAAGAGGATGGAGCCAGGCTCTTCTTGGTGATGCCAAACAACAGGACAAGACCCACAGGAAGAAATTGATGCACAGGAAGTTCCATCAGAATAGGAGGAAGAACTGCTTTACTGTATGGGTGGCTGAGCACTGAAACAGATTGCCCAGAGAGGTTGTGGAGTCTCCTCCCCTAAAGATATGCAATAGCCATCTGGACACAATCCTGAGTAGCAGGGAACCCTGCTTGAGCATGGAGGTTGGACTAGATGACCTTTAGCGATCATATGTCCAGTGGTCCCTTCCAGCTCTAACTATTTTAAGATTCTGTGATTCTGTGCTTAAATACCTGAAGGTGTTTAAAAGACTTGTAGACATGGCACTTAGAGACATGGTTTAGTGCTGAATTTGGCAGTGGTAAATTTATGGCCTGACTCAATGGGTCTTTTCTGGCCTAAATGATTCTGGTTCTATGGTCTTGGTGTAGATGATACAGGAAACCTAAAGGAGGCCCATGATCTTATTGAGGGGTATGAGCCACTTGGGTGAGATACAGCCTTTTGCATTTCAAGAGGCTCTGGCTGCATAACATGTGGATGACTGAACCCCAGCACATCAGTAGCATTTCTGCTGTTGGATATGAGCTCTTTCAATGATCTTGTTCCCTTGTAACCAAAAAGAGAGGTCACCTTCCTTCCATTAGCCCTGCCATCCAGAAGAAAACCAAAGATTTTATAGAAACAACTTCCTGTCCAGAAGTGTATCATTCTGATACAATACACAGTGCCCAATACACTTGCCCACATGTTTCTACAGGCATGTGAGCATTCAGTTCTCCATTATTTAGTGCCCCAGTGGAAGAAAACATATGTCAGCTAGAGAGGCGAGTTTGGAGTGTCCAAAAATGTGCAGTGAATGCATTTCCTCCTTTTTCCTATATACACATACGAACATTTTTCCATCCAAAATAAAATTCCTTTTCAAGATGAGCCAATTCATTTAGAAAAAAGCCTAAATGACCAAAGCTTAATATAGTCCCTGAAATAAGCTTTAAGAAACCCTGATGTGACCAGGAACCACAAGAAATTCAGATAGTGCAGGAGTCGTGCAATCAGTCAAAACTGGGTTTCTACTTGAAGAAGCAGAGAGCAAACACTGGAGTTTTTGTTTCTGAGACAGTATTTAACTACATACTGAGAACACTGTTTCAGAAACTAAATCCTACGAAGTCTCCACTTCCCCAAGGTATAAGTGAGCTTTTGTCATGCGTCTCCCTGCATGAAATCTTTCAGTAATCTCACCTGATTTTAAAGAAGACTTTCCCATTGCTTTACACTTTTTTTTTTTTTAAAGAAGATGGAACTGAAGATTAGATTTGTGCAGCCAGTGACAGCTAGTCACTCTGTTGCTTTGATGCCTTCAGAAATTGCAAACAAATGTGTTTCTGGTACCAAAAAAAAGTAGCCCTAAACAAGTAAAAAAATATTTCTGCCAGAGCATCTGTACTAGTCCATGACTTATACCTCTTGCATGCAGTCATTTTTCTCAACAATGACCGGAGTGTCCTTGTTGTATAGGAAGTTCTCTTGTCAGGAACTCCCTCCCGCAAATCCAGACATGCAGAAGCTCAGCACAGGAAGTCAGGCTGTCATGGCTCCAGGCATTGTTAATCATTTTTAAATGATCATTAAAAGGCAGCAGCAGCAGCAAAAGGATGCGGCTCTGGTGAGATCAGATAACAAAAATGTCTTTTTTTTTTTTTTCAAGGGGTGGGGGGCAGTGTAAGACAAAAACATATTTTGCAGACTGAGTTTTAAACATTCTATTGGAGTTTAGGACAGGAAAAGAAAAATACAGTACTGAGCTAACAGTTTCTGAGGCCATTCCTACCCTACTTCCTATGCCCTCCTCCCCCCTTCTCCATTCCCAACAGACAGACCTACACTCCCTCTGTCTCTCTTTGTGCAACCACAGAGACCTTGCTGTACCCAGTGCTGCCTCGGCTCTAATACCTCAGGTTTCCAAGACCTGACAATTCACAAAGTGCTGTAATTGCAATAATACTACTCACTCCACAATTTTTGGGTACCGTACCCTGCTTTGAAAACTTTAAAGACTTCTGATTTCTTAAAGCCTTTGGATTTTAAACCATTAAAATTCAGATCCAATTTAAGTTTTGTGACGCAGTCCAATTTTTGCAGTCTGTATGTCCTGTATCTATGTTTTGTCATCATTAATTATGCCCACTCATGGCTTTGGTGTCATTTGTGCCATCAACTAAATGTCATTGACCCTATTATTATGAGAAACGTATAGCACAATGTATTTCTTCTTCCCTTCTGAACTTCTCCTATATACTACTGTATGGTTTCTGTACCCAGGGCACTCCACCATCTGGACTGTGGAACCTAATGCCCTGAGGAAGAAACTGACATAAACCAATTTGTGTTAAGACCCAGACCCCAGACATACAATATTAGTGTGGCCATACATCAGGCTCCCACAGATGAGGATGGATTGTCAAGTCCCCAGTAGCTTTCCCAGTTCCTCCCACCATCGGTGGTCCTAGTTCTCGGCTGTGGCAGGCATGTCCGTGTGATCCCCTGGGACCCATTTAGAGATACTGCCCACCCTGCCAGCAGGCTTCTGCCAAGGCCTCTCACAGGCAGGAAAAGCTCTGATCACCCACTCTGAATCCACACAGTGTATTCCTGTGGCACTGACTCAGATCAGCAAGAGGGGTCTCGATGGAGGTATCAGATCAGAACAGTGGCCAGCAACCCTTTTACACCTTCTTTCTTTTTGTAAAGTCTCCCCATTTAAGCCCTTAGTTTCTCAGACCTGGTTATACTCCTGTCTACTCCTCCCAGATTTTGATCCTCATCTGCCTCCAGGCACCTTTTTCTCTTACGTGTCTGAAAAACAACCTCTGTTTCAGTTAGGAGGACAGTATGGATATAGATAAAAGATTTTCACCATGAAGTGAGGACCATTTTTTCTGACTTATTTTTGTCAGTGTCCATAGTGCAAATTCTGCCCATCACTAATACACAGAGAAACCATTAATAACCTCTGGTGGCACCTCCAGCATGTGCTGCCTGAGCCAGCATCTCAGAGGGCTCTGTGTCCCAACTCTCTCTTCAGGTTGCCACTCCTGCCCATACAGAAGAAACTTACAGCCCAACAGCACCACTGTGCCAGGCAGCACAACCCTACACCCCACTGCCAGAAAACCACAGTGAAGCTTTCAATCTCAAATATGTGTATTTTGAGAAAAGCTGAGAAAAAATAATGGCTGGTGACCTTACAAAACAAAACACAAATTTTTGCTTATTAGTCTGCACTTAACTTCACAATTCAATCTTGCACCTTTCTATTTTGCTCTTTTTTCTCTTCTTGCTTCATTGCAAAACATTGAACTAGGCTGCTTGGCAACTAATTCATAGCTGTAGTTGCTAAGGAACCAGTAAAGAAAGTAGATTAGTCTCCAGTAACCTGTTTCATTGTTGGAGATGTTTATTTTGCATAAAGGCAATAACTGTACACAAAGGGGTTTATTGAACTTGGATGAACAAGCAAATTATGCATTACTTTTCCTTCCAATAGCTTTCTCTGCTGTCACAAAGCTCCACACAAAGACTTGAACATTTCCTCAGGGAACAGGATTTATTTATTCAAAATTGTGCTGTCCATTCAGGGCCAAACTGGAGGATGTTGTCTCGAAGGCTGCACTCCAGTTTTCCCCAGGACATGCGTGAGGGATATTTGTGTCCTTTGCCCCTCCTCTCCAAGCATGCTCACCTGCCAACCACAGCACCAGCCCTCAGCCTTCCCAAGACCTGACAGCCAGGGAGGACACAACAGACTGCCAACTGACACCAGCCCAAAATAGCACTGCTTCTGGCAGCGGAATAATTCTGTGGAGCTCATTTTTCCCTGTTCAACTGCTGACTGCCCCATCTAGTTAGCAGCAGAAGCAGAGCCTCCCCTGCCTTTACTGCCGTACAGCCATGCTCCCCACAGTGTCCTGTCCACCCGCGGGCTCTATTGCCCTGCAAGTCACCTCCATGCACTTCTGCTGGCTACAGCTGCCAGAGCAGCACTGGAACAAACCTCTTCCAAACACTCTGCCTTCAGTGAGGAGCAAATGCCTTATCAGCAACGTACTCCAAACAAGAAGCCTGACTACATTGCTTTACATATCCTTGAGACCCAGTTCCTCTAGTTGTCCTGCTCCAGCACTTTCTCCTACACCCAAGCCTTGTCTGTTGGAGAAATTTCTGACACTTCTTCAGATGTTTTTTTCATATCAATAGACAAACAAGAAGGGATGAGCTGTTGAAGAATTACAGCAACTAGGGATTTGGAGATAAAGAACAAAAATAAATGCAAATGGTACGAAGGACTAGTGCAGTCCTGCTCAGAGAGCTGAGGTGCCCAAACCACCTCATACAGTAAGGATCTCTGGTGCCCTAACACCAGCCGGTGACATAAGCACAGATTTGCAGAATTTTGTGCACAGAATTCTGAAGATACATGGGCTGGTTTTCACTTCTTTTCTTGGTTTTTGGTTTTGGGATTTTTGGTTTGGTTTGGTTTTGATGGGGTTTTTTGAAAAAGTAAGTCTCAAGATGACAAAACAAGAAAAGTTTTCAACCATGAAATCTAATGCTGGTAGCTATACCAGTGAGTTCTAAAACAAAAATTACAGAAACTTCCTATGTGGGGTGAATTTTAAGTTCCACAGGGAGTCATAGTATGGCAGATAGAAGTACACAGTAGCAAATAAAACTGGCACATTCTTTAGTGAAAAGAAAAACTGTTTAGGTTTCTTACAGATTCAAGTCCTCATCTGCCTTCCCAGTGTAGTAACCTCAGTTACTCTATTCCTTCACGTCATCCATGTGCTGTGGCCAGTTGGCTTCTTCATGCATGAAGACTGGATGACTGTTACCAAATAGTTTGACAAACACCTTACTTATGACTACCTTTTTAAATGAGGCACTAATTAAGATCTCTTTCTTTTTTCCACCTATTGATTTAAAAAACAAACAAACAAAAACAAACAAAAAACCCACCACCACATTAGGATGTATTTCATGTTAAGATTTCTGTCATCTCCTTCAGACTCAGTTAAATTTGGCTAGCAAATTGCAGAATTACCAGGGTAGAGGGAACTGATACACAACTGGAGAGATAGACCATGTTATCACAGAAACTTCAGTTCCTTAGGAAGCCTGGCTAAAAGTTGATATACAAGCATTACAGTTACTGGAAAGAAGCACAAGTCTTGGATGATAGGCAATCCACAATTGAAGCTTAAAGGAAAAATGGTAAACGAAAGGAATTTAACATTATTTACAGCAATATTGATGTAGGCACCACTACAGGAATTTCTAGGAAAGATCTTCCAGACCACCTGTTTCAGGTACTTTGAATCATCAGGAAAGATGTCATTGTGGGTTTAATGGAGGGAACTGTGCATTTATATTCTGTCAAAACTGATGAGGTACACATCATCTCACAAGGTGCTTTGTAGGGCTTGGTTTTTATTACTCTGGTAAGACTAGCACAAAATTACAACACCAATGTGGTACAACTACTCATGTACTAGCATGGGAATTAAATTCACAGCTATATAGCTGTAAATTGAACTACTATGATACAGACTCCTCACAGATGCCATTCCACAAAACGTGGTGCCATCAATCTCTCTTCTCCATTTCCTTCTTCTCCCCAGGAGATCTTTAATTGGGGACGTCTGTGTTATACTACCTTATGTTACAGTATCTGGAGGCTGATGTAACTTTTTCAATATACTAAAAATCCAGCAGGTAACCAATCCTAGGTCATTTTCTTAATTTACCATTGATTAATGAACAATTCAGCTGTTGCAAAATTCTCCCAATAGAGCAATTTGTTAGGTCAAGGAGAGGGGAAAAAACCCCCCACCACTTAAGTTAGAGATGTTTTGTAGAAGCTTCTACAAAATAAGTGTTACAAACACTAAATTCTCCATGTCCAAGTTGTGAAACAATGGCTTGTGTTGTATTCCCATGGCAATTTTCTTTTAAAAAGAGAGAGGGCTGTAATTCTCTTCTCTGTTTTCAAAGTATGATCTCACTCTCCAGAGCTAGCTAAGGACAGAAGCAGCCTGAAATTGTAATGACAAGAACAGGAAGGGCATCTGTGTACTCTTTTCACTAGTGTGTGAAAGACTATTCACGCAAGTCTACACAATAACCTGGTTGATAGTCCAAAGCAAAACTCTTGACCCCTGTCATGTAGCAGGATGTGCAAGAAGAGGTTCAAAAAAGTATCAAATAAAATGTTTGGATCATATCACCAAAATATACTGCATTATTGCTTTGGTTTGGTTGGAATATTTGTACTTTAGAAATTTTAAGCAGTATTTTATAAAACTATGACAATTGCTACCAATGGTAAAAAAAATGTTATGTATGAAAAAGATTAATTTGGTTTAAAATTATGTTACAAGGATATTATTCTCAGTGAAGAAAAAAAAAATGAAGACATTACTTTTTTAAATCCCATAGAATCAAAACCTTTTTGACACATGCTAAATTTCAAATGCGTCAGAAGGTTTTCAAAAAATCCTCTGTAAGTCAGATGTATACATATGCACATATTCTAAAAGTTTGAAAGTTGTTCCTATGAGATTCCTGGCTGAATTTGATTGGTTTATTCACAAGCTTTTCTGGAA